CAACATTGAAAAAGATTTTTTGATCTTGTGTTCGAAATTTCGGAAATTTCAAGTTTCTATGAAAATTAACGAGAAAATTGATAATCTCAACTTTGTGACAGTCTAAGGATTCAATAACAAAGTATTTTCAACATTAAACTCACTTGAAAATCTATCTTTAAAGTTCTAACTGTAAGTTCTAAGTGGGATTGCTCAACTCAACTCAACTGAAATCAAAAGTGCTAATCAGTTCCAATTCTTGCTATCAAACTACTTGAGTCCCACTATTATTGCTGATAAAATATTAAAACGTAGAAAAAGAAAGGAGGCGGACGGAATTCGCCTAAGAAATAGATTTTTTTCAAACTAAATTTTTTAAATGTAAAATGGTATGAAAAATATCACAGTGTTAACCATTTTTTTATATTCGAAGCCGTTTTCGAGATAATGGCCTTAAAATTTTTTTTCCATAAAACAAATCATTTTTGATAGAGCTTGACATGCTGATCATGAATATAAAATCGGTTTTTTGATGCGACGTGCAGTTGCTGAATAAATTTGAAAAAAGTGACAAAAAGTAGAGAGAAAAGCTATTTCATTTCAAAGTACACTCGATATTCGTGAACCACGATCAAAACCCATTTTTCCTATGCAGTTTTTAATTCTGTATCTAGTGATGTTGATATGGATTGGTTTTATCTATCAAAAATGATTTGTTTTATGGAAAAAAAATTTTAAGGCCATTATCTCGAAAACGGCTTCGAATATAAAAAAATGGTTAACACTGTGATATTTTTCATACCATTTTACATTTAAAAAATTTAGTTTGAAAAAAATCTATTTCCAGGCATTTTTCCCTATTCTTTCTGTCCTCCTCCTTTCAAACATAGAATAAAGACTTTTTTGGTGCTCATTCCAAGATATAACCTGAATCTGTCTTTCTGCTCAATAGTTATTCTAACTCGATGATGGACGCCATTGGTTCATTGCATTTCGTGTTGAACTAAAATAAATTTTGTAAAAGAAACACTCAAATAATTTTCTCAATTTGCAAATTCATTTTCTTTTCCTTTTTTCAGTTTTAATCGTTGACCCATGAAAATTTGAATGAAAGACTTTGATGAAAGACGATCATCTCTTTGAAGGTGCATCAAGATGTTTATCAATGAACAAAATATGTTGAGAAAAGACGCTCAGAGTTTTTCACTTTTCCCCAATTTTCAAAGTCAATCTTTTATGTCGTTAACTTGTTCATTTATTTCAACAATACGCTTTTACTTTACCAACTGTAGTTGATAACATTACCATTTAATCCGATACTTGAGTCATCATCATTTTCCTTTTTTCCTCATTTCTTCATCTTCTTTTCAATACCTTGAAGCATTCCTAAAGTACGATAAAAACTGAATGTTGAAAGCTTCGAAAATTGTCTCTTATTTTTTTCTTCTTTACTCACAACTTTATCTTTATCTATCCATGCATAAACCAATTCATGAGACTTTCTTTTTCTTTCCTCAAGATAAGCCTTTAAAATCTTCTGAAATTATCTTCCAAAAGAGAAAAAAAATCATCAGTTTCTTCATCATCTTACAGAACTTTTTTTTCTTCTCCATTATTATCAACATTATTATCATCATCAAACTTTTATCAACAAATAACAAAACTGTTTGTTGATTCGCTGTTAACACCTGAGAGAGAAAAAAAGAGTAAAACTGAATACTCAGCAAAACAGATGAACAAAGCAGAAAACATGAAGTAAACACTGAATGAGAACGAAATGTAAAGAAATATGAAATCGGATAAAAAGTGAGTAAAGAACAAAATTGAAGAGAAAAATTCATGCAACTTTTTCTCTTCATTTGTTTCAATCGTAAATATCTCATTAAATTCATCTTTAGTGTCACTTTGAACACATTTTGACAGAAGAAGAAAAAACGAACTTCTTTTCAATTCGACCATTTGTACACTTTCTTACAATTTGGTCAGCATTCAACTTGAAACTTCACATGATGATCATGTTTTTGGTCATCACCTTTTTGTGTCTTTTTATAAATTTCTTGTTATCTTTTACTTTTCACAACTTTTACACCACAAAAATATCACCAAATTGAAAAGAAGAAGAAAAAAGATGAAATTTTTCCAAAAAAAGCAACGAAAGGTTTATCAACTATTAGTGACTAAACATTTTCTTGTCATTTCCATCATGAAATGTTGGACATTTTTTGTTCGACTCTTAATCAGATTATCAGGAAAGCTTGAACAGTAACTAAAGAATTTAAATGTATTCATGATTGAAGAAGAAAATTGAATTATCTGTTAATCAACAAATCATAAAACATTTCAAAAGCTAAGAGTCATTGAAGGTAAAATTTACTTAATTTTGACTCCAATTTACTTCATTTTTTAGCTTCAATTGTCTTTTCATTTTCATTTAAATTGTGTTCAGCATTTTAAAGATAATTTTTCAAGACTTGAACTCAATCATGATTAATTGTGTTGATTGGGAAAATGAAGAATGGTTGATAAAGGAAAAGACATTTGCCATTCACTTTGTTAACCACCTTCTGAGTTGATTAGGTTTCATCAATTGAGACTTTTCCCTTTTTCCAGGGATTTTTTTCCTCCATTTCAATGTTATTTATTGTTTAATGGATTGGAAAATGAATGAATCAATCCCTGTATAAACAGAATCATCATGTTCTTCATGTAAGAATATTTCACTTGTTTCTTCTCGCTTTCTCTCCTTTCCTTCCCTCCATGGTTCCATGACTTTTAACACATGATAATTTCATGTAAGTATCATGATTGTTACCAACCTGTTTTCACTCCCAATCCCAGAATTTTCTCCATTCAATAGAATTCTCTATTATTTCCATTCTTTTCAACCTTTTCATCTTCAATAATTTTACTCTTCAAAAGCAATCATTTACCAATCCAAGAATAACTTTATATCAACACTTTTTTTTCTTCAACATCTTTGATCTTTTCTGATTTTCTATTCGGATTAATTTATTTGTTCAGATTAATCGGGGTTGTCATGTAATGAATAAAGGGAAAACATTTTTACCCAAAAATGCTTTTCAAATTGTCTGCAAAATGAAAAATTGTTACAATAATGATAATTTTGTTAACCATAAAAAACCATGAAAGCTGTTTAATTGGGTTTTGTTGTTCAATATTGTCGAGTTTTTGCATTCAAGATTAACTTGTTTTTGCTTCTTTATTGTTAATCAACGCCATCAATCAATTTTTTCTCATCAATTCTCTATTTTCTTGAGCAAAATTTTATCATTTAACCATTGTAAAATGATGATAGTCTTTACTCCGAGTCTTGGAAATTTAAGCTCTGAAATTGGATTATTTGAACATCAATTTTGTTTCAATGTTAAGGTATATTGTAACAATACTTTCACCTTTCTTCGTCTCAGTGGTAATAAATTACATCCAATTTCATCGGGTTAATCTGTTAATTATCATTTATCACTCGTTCTTTTCTTTTCACCATTTACTTTTTGTTCTTGTTCCATAATTCCTCAGCAACTGAGTGAAAATAATGTTGAGTTAAAACGCAAGACTGGATCAACAATTGGAATCTAGTTGATCAATTGATTCAGGTAAACATTCAAAGGTTAATTGAATCTATGAACGTCAGACGGTGAATCAGATTTGGTGAAAATTTGTTTGTATGTTTGTATGTTTTTTGCATTATAAACATTATTGATTGATAATCATTTCTCACCTTTATTCAATAATGTTGAAAGCTATTCATGCAATTTTGATTATTGAAAGATTATTATCTTGAGAGTTGAGATTCCTGCCGGGTTTATGCGTTTAGACTGGCAGTTATTTTTGGGTTCATCATTGAGTCTGGTTTCGTAAAAATTTATTGAAATTGTCCATTTATCTTGATGAGGTGTAAAATAACATTAAGGTAAAGGAAAGGTAATGTTATTTTGTAACCAAACAAAAATAAGGTGATGAGCTTTACCAACATTAACACCAGCAACAACATTGTCAATAGTCAACTCCCTTGGAATCCATCAAAATCTATCAGAAAGCTTTTGCTACTTATTATTATCAACATCATCTTCGTTATTATTATTTGTTAAATCAATCTTTCAATATAAACATTGGCACAGTTGAAAGGTATGAAGGTTAAAAACAAAAGGTTTGGATGAAAAGAGTCAGACAATAAAAGGTAATCACCAGGTTTAAGATGAGTAGGAGAAAGGTTAAAATAAGCTTGAAGGATTCGTATTGATTATGATGTTACAGGTGAAAGTTGTCTAATCAAACGGTTGATTGAGAGGCACAGAAAAATAATGGTTGATAATTCAAGAAAAAAAGGCAATTATTAATGTTCAATTGTGAGATGAAAATTCAGTAATTTCCTGTTCAACCCAAGTTGTTTACGTTTGGAAACTGAGCAGAAACAAATGAGGGGAAAATGTGTGAAACAAGTTGAAAAAAATGGTGACTATTCCGTGTCAAAATGGTAAAGGAGTGATGATAAAATGAAGAGTAGAATTGATGAGACGAGAAAAAAGACATTCTTCCAATGAGAAAATGAAGAGACAAAAAGAATGGAATTAAACTGTGTCATTTCAATGGGTTATAAGGTGAAAATGGAAGCAACTGAAGATGTATTTATGTTTTTGCCCAATCTTCATAAACATTATGCAGACAGTTGATGACTAAAGTTTCATCTCCTATTTCTTGATGTGTAAGTTTGTTATATTGTCAAATTGAAGAAACTGGTGAAGAGAATGAATATTTTAAATATTAACGGAAAATGGAAAAGGAAAAAGGATATTTGATAATTTATCACAATTGAAATGAAAGGTAAAGTATAAAAGGCAACAGTTTACTTCAACAACTCATGGTAATGATAAATAACTTTGTTAGTCACTAACTCTTTTCCCTCTCTTTTTTCATTCCATTCATTCACTATGACGCCATTTTTCCCAATGCATTTTTCAATACTTTATCTTATATTTATTTGTTTTTTCTTATCTTTTTAGGTTAATTGTTTTTTCAGTTTTTTGTTGGCACCTTTGGGTTGAATCTAAACCATGAATGTGAACATAGTCTGAACTATTTAAAAACTAGGTGAAACATGTCTAAACCCGGTCTTGGGTTACCTGGACGTCGTCGTCATTCAAGGATTTCATTTTTACCAAGAGTAAGTTCAGAAGTGGTTGATTATGGTGGCCATTCTGCTTCATCTGGTCATCCAGCATCGGCTTCATCATCAAATTCATCGTCTTCATCAAATATACGATCAGTAGGATCATCTTCTCACGGTGATAAGGATAAATATCGTCTAGTTGTCATGGGTGCATCCAAAGTGGGGAAAACTGCAATCATCAAGCGTTTTCTTTACGATGCTTTTCCTGCTGATCACAATCCAACTGTTGAAGAGCTTCACAAAAGTGAATATGAAATAAAAGGAATTGGTACCGTAGCTGTGGAAATTTTAGACACCAGTGGCACCTTTTCGTTTCCAGCGATGCGTCGTCTTGCAATCAATAGTGGTAGTGCTTTCATCTTAGTTTATGCAATTAATGACAAGGAATCATTTGATGAGGTTACATCACTTAGGGAGATGATTGCTAAAACTAAAGGGTCCTCAAATGGCAACTCTAATGAATCAACAGCTTCCAACAATTGTCCCGATTCAAATGGTCACAATGATAACAATAGCAATATCAACAATAATTCAAACAATAACGCAGACGATAGTAATAATAGAAACAATGCTTTTAGTCAATCAACAGCCGATCAATCATCTGGTGAAACATTAATTGAACCTGCCCAGGTTCCTATTGTAATTGCTGGTAACAAAATTGATCTTTCCGAGTCTCGAATTATATCTAAGGAAATGGTCGAATTTGAATGCATTGATTGGGAAGTAGGTTTTGTAGAATGTTCAGCAAAGAATAATGACAACATAACATCGATATTTCAACAATTACTTTTACAAGCTCATCTTAAGGGTTCTCTTAAGATTATTGCTGGTCCATCAACACATTACCATCAACATTCCCATCATCACAATCCCTGGTCATTATTAACTTCCAGTAATCATCATTCATCGTCCAATAATGGTTGTCATGCTAATCATAACAATAGCCCAAATGGCAGCCATTCTACCTTTTCAGCATTCTCAACTGACCCTCATCTAAATGACGTTAAAAAATCAGAATCAAATTCTCGTAGACGGTCAAGTTTACCAGTTACCGATCTGTTCAATTATTCAATGTCATTGGGTGGACTCAAGAATCATCGGTCATCACCGAGAAAGAAAAGGAAAAGTTGTACTCCTTCTTAATTGTCGGCAATCTAAACTGGAGTCTATCCAAAAGAGCAATCAAATGATACAATAGCATTTATAATAGTTTAAGTGACATTATTTAGAACTTATTTCAGTTGAATGGAAAAATGATGAATTTTCATCATGTCTTTCGACTTTTATGGATCGCAATTGACGATCGATTAACAAAATGCTGATTACAATTTAGTCAGTAAACTTATTGGTTATAACAAAAACTCTGATGCAAAAAAAATGAATTTATGATTAGAAAAATGAATGGAAATAATTTAGTGAAAAGTTATTGTGATTGTTATTACTTTCAATGTTTCATGTTTATCAAATTCAATTATTACTGTTGTTGATTGCAAATGTTTTAACCCTGATTGAATAAAAAAAATCATGTAAAACAATATATACATATATACTAATTATCTTTGGTCTAAGTTCTATACACAAGATGAGAACTTTTATTAGTGTTTCGTTATTGTCCCCAATCGGCTGCTTATAATTTTTCATCTGCCCCTATTTATTTATTGATTATCACTACATTGGATTAAAATGTCATTAATAGTGATTAATTGACACTTATTTGGTTAAACGGGCTTCACTTTATGATGGATTAAGATTTATGATTAATCAATAATAAGTATCATGGACAATATTAAGTTTTCTGTTCATTTGTTAATTTACAAATACATAGATAGATTTCTGTAGATGTTGATGTTGATGCTGATGTCGGTGTTGGAGTTGATGTAGATGTGGATGTAGGTATTGACAGCGTTGGAGACGAAGGAGATGACGATGAGTTTTTCAGTGACTTTACCAAATGTGGATGAGGTAACGAACTATCATCATACAAAGATACTTCATAAATAACATCAGCTATTATAGAAGCTACTCCTTGATCAAGAATTTGTGAAAATACTAGAGATAAAAGTCTCTGTTGGTGAACTAATAACAAAGGTCTATTTTCAGGTATTCTGGCAAAATGTCGCAAACAAATAGCAGCTCGACGAACCATATCAAGAGTTGTACCCATTAATTCAGGATTATCACGTAGAGCATTTATTCCTTGGGAATTGGCTACTTGTAATGCTGATTGTTCAGATTGTTCAATAAAACTAATCAGTTGAGGAATCGCATAACCAGTTAAAGCTATTGCACGGGCTATACTTGTATCAGCAGCAGCAAAATTGGCCAATAAAACAAGCGCAAATTCACGTAATGTTTGCTCCTCATTACGATTTAACATTTTTGCTAACATTAATAACATCTTCTCTAATCGACTCCATGGCGGTGTTGCTAATAATAAATCAACATTGGAATCAATTATCGATAATTTCATTAATGATTCCAAGGCAAGTCTTTTAGGTGAAAAGGATTGAACTGTTGTGGTTGGAAGATGATCTTGAGCATATGATGATGGACATACAGCCCAATGTAATAAACCATCAAGAATATTTAAACTAATCTCTTCGGGATATGGATCAAGATCCAGTTGACATGAAATATTAGCTATTGTAACCAATGTATTTTCACGTAAAAGATGTATTGATTCAGAGTACCAAGGAGGATTCGTAATTTCTTCATCATCATTATTATCTTTCGAACGAGTTGGTGATGAGTTTAATATTGATGAAATTGAAGAATTTTTCAACAAATTACATTCATTACTATGTCCATCCAAACTCTCATTCATTTTCCCATAATTAGGGTCGATAATTCCATTAGTTTGCTGATCTTCCTGTCCATTTGTTGTACTTGTAAATTTTTCCACACCTTCACTCAATTTAGCAAAATCGCGATTCTTTCGGGGATGTGTATGATTCAATGTTATAAGTCGACTTAGTACCAACATTAAACCCGGGTGTTTACACATTTCGACGTCGTTACCAGGCACAAATGATAAATTTCTAATTAAAGTTGAAATACAAAGACACCGTCGACTAATTGAATCATAATAATCCAAAACTGGAAACAATGGTGAATCCTCTTCACTATCAGCTTCTTCTTCAAGTTCATCGGAATCATATGATGAAACTTTCTTAACAGAAGATTTGCCATTCATTGAAAATTTAACTTCACTTGGTAAATTATCAACTGGCTTTTCAACTGGAGAAGGCATTTCTATTTTCTCTTTTTTTACAACAGGTTCTGGACAAGAAGATCCTAAGTTACAATCATCAACAGAATTTGATTTTTTGTTCACATCCTTTGTTTTTAATTTTTTATGGGATTTCTTTGATTTTTTCGTCCTAATAACTCTAACAAGCTTGAGATATTTTTCCTTTGGTTCAAAATGCGTCAAAATATGATCAGTAATTTCTCCATACCCTTTAGCCCAATGCTCTTTACCAACACGAAAACCGTTCTTTAAATAATCCCATTTCTTCTCATAGTCTGTCACAAATAAATGAGCTTCAGCATTTTCCATCCTAACAGTTTTACCATTACGTGATTTAAAGGTAAGGTCAAGAGATGATTTCAACATTTTAGTTTGTTGATCCATTTTGGGAATGTTGACATGAATTGCATGATCCATTTTAACAAAGTCTTTTGAAACATTGACAGTTTTTCTGATTTTGTTTCCATCAAGATATTTATCACCATCAACCATACCATCAACATTGTCATCTTCGCTTCCTTCACTATCAATGTCACTATCATCGTCAGAATTCATGTCAACTGCACTGCTTTCTTTATGTTTAATGATATCCTCTTCCTCGTCTTCATCATCAGATCTAACTTGGTACCATTTTCGCGTCCTTCTTTTTGCTTCATGTGAAGTTTTTTCAATATGACCACTAACTTCGGTGTCTTTGAATAAACCATCAAACATGTCGTTTAAACATTTCTTATAATGTTCCAATAAAATTTCCAATAATCCTGGTAAATGTTGGAGTCCGAAATAAAGATAACTACTATCATCACTAACCAAAACTGCTAAAGTATCCAATGCCCAGGTACTTTCGGCGAGCAATCCCGATTTCAAACTCATTAAAAGTTTCCATGCTTCAACTGGGGGAATATCTTTACTTGTTAACTTACGTCTTTTAGAATAATTTGCTTGAGTTGCTTCAACACTATCATGGGGAAAAACTAAATCTCTTTTCATTATCATTTGTGCTCCTGGAGGAATATGATGACTAAATTGTTGATGCGATAGCATATGCCCATGTCCATGTACATGTGGAGGAGGAAGGGGTGAACCTGAGTTTGGAGCTCCCATGTGTGGATTTGGTGATGGTGAACCAGGAAGACTTGTTGATGAACATAAAAGACGCGTTAAATGGGCTGAAGGAGATTTTGCTGGCATTGGTGGTCCACCGGACATTTGAGTTGATTGATACATCCTATTTTGCATTGCATTCATTTTATTCATTGGATGATCCGGTGGATAAGGATAGGCTGATTGAGATGTTGTGCTTAAATATCCAGGATGATTCATTCCTGGTGGTGGACCTCCTGGTCCAGCTTGAGGAGGTTGAGGATGTGGATATCGATTCATTTGCCAACCTCCAGTAGCTCCTGAATTCGGACCAGACATACCCTGTGATGGCGGAGGAATCGGTCCTCCATTATTTTGATCATTTCTTGGTTGATTATTTTCCCAACCAGGTTGACTATGTACATATGGTGGAGCTGTCATATTACCATGAGGTGGTGGAGGCTGAGATGTTGGGGGATGAGGAGTAGGACCACCTGGATGAGCTCTGAAATTCGCATCTCGATTCCATGTTTGATGAGGACCATCTCCTTGGGGATAATTTGCTGGCATTGATCTATTACCAGGTCCAGGATACGGATGATATTGGTTGGAAGGCCCATCTAAGCAATATAGCAAAAAATTCATAAATGGTTAATGTAGTAGCAGAAAAAAAGCAAAGTGATTTAAGAGCTTGCAAAATGGATAAACCAATAATATAAATTAAACTAATATTTATGTTTTATAAATTACCTTGAAATGGTGGAGTGGGAGTTTGTTGGTGCTGTGGTGGATGATGTTGAGATTGTTGTTCAGGTTTCATAAAGTCAGGGTGCCTTTTTGGATAAGCAGGATGACTCTGGGGATGTTGTGGAGTAGATCCAGGAGGATGATTCGGTCCTATTACATGACCACTGTTAGTTGGAGGATTTTGGTCATAAATATTATTTTCTCTAGATTCACCCATGAACCTTGGTGTTGGTCCATTATGTGGCGCTTTATTCATAGGACTCGAATATAATGAACTCTGATAATTGGAACTCTAAGAGAAAAAATGAAACATTTAGAATTAGTTTTAAAAAAAGCTTATTTTGGAAATTTAGAAATTGTATACTAAATTCAAAAATCGAGGGTAAATTTTAACAAAACATACTTGAGGTTGATTAGATTTGGCAGCTAAAAGCCTTTGAGCTAGTGGACTATTATGGGTTGACATCTTAACAAGCGGGTGATCAAAATGCATTCAATAAAAGTGGAAAATAGAATAAAATAATAAGAAATAAAATAAAATTATGAGTAAAATAATGAAAATAGAATTTAAACAAAAATGGAATTCATAAGAGTAAATTTCTAGATGAATCATGTATTGATACATAACAAAACTAGAAAAAATCTAATTACCTGTACATTTGAAGGCCCATTATTGCGATAGGCATCATTCATTTCTGGATAAGCTGTTTGATTTCCAGGGGGAACTGGACCATAAGGTCCTGGAACTGGGCCTCGTGGAGGATAACCAGAGCTATTCATAAGTAAGGGTTGTTGTGGTGTATTCGCATGTGGCTGTGAGGCTGATGGATGGGGATACCGTTGACCAGCGCTCATATTGGATTGTGGATGATGAGGAGAAGGATGAGAAGGATGAGGTGGATTTGAAGAACCGTGATTTTCGGGTAGAGATGAGGAGGATGATGATGAAGATGGAGCTGAAGGAGGTTGATTAGAAACTGGAGCTCCTCGATTTGATGAAGGTTCTCCTGGTTGATTATTATTATAATTACTTGCTTCTTGTCTATTTGAGTCCATTGAAGAACGGTTTTCTCTATTATAATCATATTCTTGTGGCCCATAATAGCCTTGAGCTCCTCTAGATGCTGGTCGATTTGGTGGGAAATTGGGTGGTGCGTTAGGATAATAAGCTTCCTGGTGTGTTGATGGGCTCTGATTTGGCAACTTAGATCCCGGAGTAGATGAAGTAAGAGTTACTTTAGTAGAATTTTCAGAGCTATTGGAATTGTCTTTGTTATCATGCGAATTATTAGAATAAATATTTCCTTTGTTATTCTCACTTTCAGAACCACGTGATGATGAGGAAGGACTTGGTAACCCTGTGCTACTTGGTCGACTGTTTTGACGACCACTTGATCGATTATTTGAACGACTACTTGGTTGATTGCTACGAAAACTCGAACTTTCAGATCCCAACTCTGGAGGACCACTTTTCAACTGCGTTTGTTGCTGCTGTTGGTGGCCAGAAGGATGTCGACGATGACCAGTTGGAGTTGGAGGCTTCATCTCATCAGCAAATGGATGGGACAAAAAATGTGAATGTGAATGTTGTTGATGTTGATGAGGGTGCCCTTGTCCATGCCCATGTCCATGTGCATGTGAAGGAGGAAGAGGTGAACCTGCATTTGGAGCTCCCATGTGTGGATTTGGTGATGGTGAACCAGGAAGACTTGTTGATGAACATAAAAGACGCGTTAAATGGGCTGAAGGAGATTTTGCTGGCATTGGTGGTCCACCGGACATTTGAGTTGATTGATACATCCTATTTTGCATTGCATTCATTTTATTCATTGGATGATCCGGCGGATAAGGATAGGCTGATTGAGATGTTGTGCTTAAATATCCAGGATGATTCATTCCTGGTGGTGGACCTCCTGGTCCAGCTTGAGGAGGTTGAGGATGTGGGTATCGATTCATTTGCCAACCTCCAGTAGCTCCTGAATTCGGACCAGACATACCCTGTGATGGTGGAGGAATCGGTCCTCCATTATTTTGATCATTTCTAGGTTGATTATTTTCCCAACCAGGTTGACTATGTACATATGGTGGAGCTGTCATATTACCATGAGGTTGTGAGGCTGATGAATGGGGATACCGTGGACCAGCACTCATATTAGACTGTTGATGATGAGAGTTAGGATGAGGTGAGGGATGAGTTGGATTAGACTGCCTATGATCATCGGGTGAAGATGTAGATGAAGTTGACGTTGAAGGAGGTTGATTAGATAATTGATTTCCTCGATTTGATGAGGGCTCTCCTGGTTGATTACTAGCATAATTATTTGCTTCTGGTCTATTTGGGTCCATAGAAGAACGATTTTCTCTATTATACTCATATCCTGGTGGACCATAATAGCCTTGAGCTGCACCTCTAGATGCTGGTCTATTGGGTGGGAAATTAGATGCATTAGGATAGTAAGCTTCCTGACTCCTATTCATTTGATTAGGGTACATTCCTGGACCTGGTCCATAATTATTCATTGGTGTCATTGGTCCATGGTGTGGAGGATAAGGACCTTCTAATTGCACTGGAGTACCTGACTGTGGGTAACTACCACGAGAATCACTATCTGCTGTTCCAGGAGACGGAACACCTTTCAATTTTTTACCACTTGGATGTGGAGAATGAGATCGACCAGTCATGGGCGATGACATCGGATGAGGTGAATAAGGTGACCCAGGAGGTGGATAATTCGGCATTCCTGGATGATGAGATTGTGGAGGATAACCTTGTGGATAATTGTTACCGGTAGGCGACGGTCCATTACCCGGATAAGGTGACACTGGTGGTTCCATTGAGCCAGGAGTTGGTGGAAATCCTTGCGGATAACTGTTACCCATAGGTGATGGTCCATTGCCAGGATAAGGTGATACTGGTGGTTCCATTGAACCGGGAGTTGGTGGGAAACCTTGTGAATTGCTGTCACTATGACCAGGAGACATTGTCTCTTTAGATTTCTTCGTCTTTTTCTCGTTTGGTGCAATTAATGTTGTATGATCAATTCCTCCCCGGTCAAATTTACATTCGTATGGTAATATATGTTTGATGTACTGTTTCCTTATAGCGTAAGAAGAGCTTGGATTTACCATACAACCACATAAAGTAGCTATTTCTTTCCATGCCTTGGTTTTAGAAACTTCAAGAAAACCACCTTTGTCTTTAACAACATTATACAATTGGTACAAATCCAAAGGATGTTTACTTATGGTTGGAGATGAAGTCATAGAAGCACCACGGGATTCATTAAAGGCGGCCAACCTTTTCATAAAAATATCTCTTTCTGATTCTTCGCCCATATTGTCAAACTTCATGGACCTTGGACGACAAAGACCAGCCGGGTACGAACTGTTATTCTCAGAAAACGAGAAGAGACGGAAGAATTAAGAATTGAGTAGCTGTGAAATAATGTAAAGACAAAGGATTCACCATTATATCATATTAAGCAATACGAAAGACAAAAAAGAAAGGAAAAGGAAGGAAAGAGCTTCAGAGAGAAAGAGAGAAATACACAATGAACTGTTTAAAATTTTCTTAGTTAATTTGCAATTGCAACAATAATTTAAAACATATCAACTTAATTAAACAATCATTAGATGCAGAGTTTGATTGAGCTTAGGTATCAAACTCAGTCAGTCAAAAAAAACCGATACCAAATCAAAAAAGTAACAGCAGAGAGTCAAGTCAAATACAACAACAAGATGGCGAGTTTAGCGAGAATAGCTTGATGTCAGAAGAGGAGGAGTAACTCGCTACAGCAGCTATCTCTCAGCAGAGTGTAATATGGTGATGCTCCTTTTTATCGATACACTCGATAAGAATCGATATATTTCCGAGAAAAGTTACAGTTACCTTTTTATTGAATAATTTTTGTTAATAGCGATTAAAATTGTGTGATTTTAAAGACAGAATCCTTATCTAGTCCATTTTTCAAAAATGCGATTGTAAAGGCTCAAAAATAAGCATCAAAGAGATTAACTAAAAATTATCAGTCTTGAAGGTTGATGCGGTTTGTTTATGTTTTGAATTTGCGTCGATAAATCTAATTTACACTGATCGAACATTATTTGTTTAATGTTTCGTTTTACCAACTACTAATCTAGTACTTTAATAATCTTTAAGCTTTTAACAACCTAATTCATAAGTTTATCATAGCTTTTTGGATAAATTTTGCATCCACCCGATTCCCAGCGATTAACAATATTCATGTAAAAATGCTAAGCCTTTTAAAAACTGAAAGTAATTGTTTTCAGTTATCAGCTTTTTTTTGTATCGCACATTTCTATGTTACACCGGCAAGATTGAACCTTTTACGCACAAATTAATTTGTACTGAATTGAACTCTTTATGTAATATAATAGAGCCTCGTAGTGTTTGAAATTCCCCTTATTTCTGATGATGAGTCCAAACAATTTGAAGTTTTTGCTTCAAATTATCAAGACTTGAATAAGGTTTAAGAAATTAGCTTAACTAAAGAAGTAGCTTATTATTCCTGATCCACAAACAGCTTACCAAGCATCACAACCAATAATAGACTCGAATCATTTTTTATTTCATTTTGTAAACAATAATCAAATTAACATGAATTACTTCAATGAAGTAACTTCATCATCCCGCCCAAGTAGGGACCATTAAAAAAATTAGATACAGTTTCTGTCTATTCAGAAAATTATGCTTTTCGATTAAATTTTTTCGATAGATTGGACTCGAAACAGCTTTTCATAAAATTAAACCCAAAAGCCGGTACTATTTCTCGATTTTAAGCCAAGTAATGATTTAATATACGATATTTACAATATTTTTTTTAAATTAATAGCATTCAAATTCAATAAATTACGATTAAAAGTACATCTATGTTAAATAATCTGTATCAGAACACAGGATATGTTGGGATCTAAAGCTCAAGCTTGTATCAGAAATTGAGCTAGTATTACAAGCCATTGATGTTTCAGTGATGAATTCACGAAATACATTTTCAAAGTCCATCATGTGTCGACACCAGAACCAATCACAGAATTGTGAAATTGCCAGGTTAAATAATAGCAATTGTCATCATTGGAAATACCCATAAAGGTTTCATTCTTTCAGGTCTGAACAGGCCAGGTCAGGTCATTTCTATTGGATTTATGTAAAAGAAAATAATTAGTCAAAATTAATTTAAAAGAGCATGGAAAACAGATATGTTTATTACCTGAAATTATATTATAGATTCGCATGAATGTGTTTTTGTTCCATTGTACAAGTTTACTAATGATATTATGTATTTGGCCTTACATGAAACGAATTGTTGACCAGATAAACTCACAGTCCCTACGTGCGTTAATACAATGCTATTAGATTGGTCTGGCGTAAAGTGCCTCAATCATTGGTTGTAATTGCTTTGCGATGTTGCCGTATTGAACATTCAATCTGATGATTAGTTCGAAAGATCAGTCAATTTGAAATCGGCATTTTTTTGTGCTTTTTTGAGGCAGGCTTGGCCATTCACCCATTTAAATTTATATTTGAAAAGTCGGGACAAATTTTAGGTGGTTTTCCCTCAGATTTTGATGACTTTCATTTGACCTAGACAACCCAAAAGTAACCATCTTTGCCATCAAGACGTGTTATTTTAACTCTGAATCGTATCAGAGCAGAGTAACTTGATTGAATAGCTCCATCTTGTACACTACATGTTGAAACAACTCTTATAATCAACACTAAATGGCAAAATAACCGCGAGGTATAAAACAGCTGACTTTATCTTTTATAAACATTTTCTTACCTGTTTATTCATTTGGTTTCCATGCAAACAGAAATCGTTAGCAACTATTCTTAAAATTAGATAAACTTTAATCATTCATTCTATGATAAAAATGATCAAATTCAAAATAACTATTCGGAGCCGAATCCAAAAACAAGTTTAAAGTTCACAAAAAAGCCACAATGAAAAACTTTTGATGTTAAAACATGAAAACAAAAATATCGATAAAAGATCAGATAGTTAAAGATACATTACCATTACTACTTGGACTCAAATAAATTCATCATTTGATTAATGAACTCTAACCAACTCTGAAAATACGAACAGTAAAATTCAATTAAAACTCTTGACAATTAAACACTTGGAATTATTTACAGAGAAAAATTCTTGTATCATAATCAAAGAATATACTCTTCAATATAAACATCATAAAAGTGTCTGATTGGAGTGAATTGATGAATATCAATTGGTAAAGCAGTTCCTCATTCCGTAAAAAACTTGATGAGTATTATTGAATATTTTTTGTGTAGATTAGATTATCTTCACTTTTTAACAGAGATTGATTAATAATGAACCAGTAATTTAATTTACAATAAAAATTCTAATATGATCTTCTTATCTAACTCTTTTATCTTTCATTTCGTCCGTGATTAACCCTTATTTCAATGTTATTTGGTTAAGTATTAATTATTTCAATTTTCAACTTCCCTTTCAACTCTAATTGTACAGTTTTAATTTTTAATTATTAAATTCTCGATGTTGTAATTTCCCTTTTAACCATTTAATCATTACTGAAAAATGTGCAAATTTCAAATTTCCCTCTCACGGTTGTTGATGCTATTTCATGGCTCATTTGGTTGTATTAATATTTAGATTTGCTCTTCTTCAGCATTCAAAGTACAGTATTATTTACACTCTATTAAGGCGCTAAAGTCACCGTCGATCGACTGTGAAATCTAATGAGTGGAGGTGCTTATGAATATTTAATTTAATTGTAATCTTCTGACATCAAACAAGTTTCAGCGAATAATGGAAAGCGACCAAGAGAATGGAAATAATTTGTAAATTATAACCATGATTATGTTTATATTTTTTCATTATTTGCTAAAAGTTATTGGACAACACAATTACATCGTTTCCAATTTTTGGATGAAGAAAATTTTGCTGTTGTTATTGTTATAATAACAATAATAATCATCATTAATTTTGGGAAAGACAATGGATCCATTACATATCAAGCATCTCTTGACTTTTAATGTGCAAAAAACAAAACAAAATCATCTCTACAGTCCATCCCAAAGTCATTTTAGTCTTCATCATCATTAAAGCCACCATTATCATCTGAAACCCGTTAATTCAACGTTTACTTTCGCTCTCGATTTCAACCCTCGTCTTCTTTTTATTATCACATTTGTCTGTCTAAAATGCCGCAAGTAGGATGAGGTTGCATTATATTTCGGGAAGAAGGAGATGAAGAAGAGTAATATTATTATAATTGCTTCTTAAAACAAGAATAACTCCAATTACACCTACTTTTTGCTTCTTTTCTTTCATCCATCTATTCAATTGTTCATTTTCATCATCATCTCGTAATACCTTTCATTTTTAGCAATTAACTTAATCAACGACTTAAAAAAAGTGTCATTCATTGAAGGCCAAGATGAGACCGATAATCTTTCCTACATTTGTATTGTTCCCTGTTAATCGTGCTTAAACCCATCCTCAACTCCATCATCAGAATCATCATCAGCATCTTCGGGGTCACTGTCACCATAAACACTAAACAAGGCCAACATTTTGATCATCATAACTTGATAACTTTACATTAAATTATCATCTTTCCTGAACTCCTTCATATCTACAACATCTTTGTCCTCATGATATTAGTTTCAAAAAAATCTAATATCATCTAATCTGTAATGAATCCTAAAGAAGTAAACGTAATAATAAACAATCAGATTAAGAAACAGTTGCATCATTTGAAAGTACAAATTTAACATAAGATTAATCTCTCAATTCATCAGTAATCACCAACTTCCCTTATTATTGCTCAACTAATTTGCTAAATACAAATCAACCATTTGATTAGTTTACATTTATGCACATCATCGGGTTCATCTTTTTTGCAACCTGATTGTTCCCTGTATTTGGTTATTGATGTACGCAAATTCATCAAACTGAAGTTGGATTAAAACAAAAGTCCAAAATGTGCTTTAATCAATAGTATCTTTGCTTTTTAGTGTTTATTATTGATACAATAGATTAATTTTGAATAGACGGTGTGACAAGTAATTTATGTTACCAGAGATCTTCAAATTTGTACTGTGGCTCTTTAGGATCACTGAAAAATTGGGAATACCAGCGACGGAATGCAACAATTTGTTTCTCTTCCTTCACTAAATTTGGGTTTTTCAGATAAATTTTGTTGCTCCATACTTGAATGTCTCGTTCAAGCTAGAATCAAAGAAGAGAGTATAAAAGAAATTATTGATTAATAGCTGACAAATTTGCTAATTTGATATTACCATGATTGATTGCTTCAACTCTTAGAAAAAACTGAGCAAGAAGTGACGATATCCATTTTGGCTCCATGTATAAATGATGGATAATTTTCTGTTTGTCGATAGCCAGTGGGATCACACTTTGAATGAAACAGCCTTCGAATTGGATTCCAAAAAGGTTGAAATTGAAGAATAGATTAACGATTGCAGGTCCAATTTGCTCTACTTAATCAAAAGCAACGTCAAGCAATTTGAAACCAAACAAAAAAGTAATTGATTTCAGAGTGACATTAGCTTTGTGACTTTCATTTGATGCACCCTTTTGCCATGTAATTTCCCAGCTATGACTGAAAGCGTCGATTACAGAGTTTTTTGCAGCTTGTACTTTTCCTCCCAACATGAAAGATGGAGCGTGAATTTCATTTAAATGTGCAGAATCAGCTCCGTTTTCAGGTATCTCCTGGAAAGAAGATTGATATTGAAGTGGAAGATATAAAAGCATGTTAACTCTACTCACTTGAAGTAAGCAATTGAGTGAATGCTCGGTTCGTCCGAAGTATTTCCATTTTTTTGTCGAAATATGATCAATATCAGGCGGAGTCCAAGTCGGATCTTCATCTGAAAGTCGGTAGAAGAGTAGAGATGACATTATTAACACATTATTCATAAGCAAAAATACGGCTGATTACCTTCTGAATGATGCCAAATGTAAATGAATCCACTCATCTCAAGGCATTTCCATACTTTAACTTTTACTCCATTTGGTGGCTCTGTTGTAAGTTAGAAATCAGACCAACTATTAGATGAATTAACATACTTCTATCCTTAGCATAAGGAACTTCAAGGCATAATCCATCATTTGCTCTGAAAATCCAGCCATGAAATGGACAACGGACGCAATCAGAATCCCGTTTTTTAACTATTTTACCACCAACAGAGAAATCAGCCCCTAAATGTGGACAAAATGCATCCAAAGCATATGGTTTTTAGGTGATGATGAAGACCTGAATAAAATAATTCTGTGTCCACAGAAATCAAAACGTTCAATTTTATTGTTTTTCAGGTGTTGAGATTCACAAACACTAATCCATCCATTGGGAAAAGATGTAGGTTTTTTCAAACGATTAAGATTAACATCAGTCCTACTGAAATCCTGAAACAGAAATAAAAAATTTACTTTTCTACAGCTTTAATAGGCAACAAATAACCGGTCAAAAGGGACAACCAATTGAAATACTTACTCGAATCAGATTAACAGGGCTAGTAAGAACAATAACTGCCCAGAAAACAAAGGTGAGCGCGATTAAATAAACAATAAGTTGGACACTAAGATTTTGATAAACCAGCAAGAGATAATCTTCAGAGACATCCAGTAAACCGTCAAATCTCATTGTCAAGGAGTAAAGTTGTTTCAGAAAGTTTTATATTAAAAACAAAAAGCGCAACTTTAATTAGCTAAGTAAATGGTAACAATTAAATCTAAATTGCAATTGCAAATCACATTAAACTCTACTCTAACTCACATAGGTTTTGTTTGAGCATAATTACTTCAACATCAACATTAGCAGGTTAAACTAGTTATGAACCAGTTAGGCTATATTCTGTCAGTTCAATCAGTAAACTAGGAAAAAGATTAGGTCAAAAAAGTACAAGGACAGCAAATTCAGCTGATAAGAAAAAAGCTGTGTCTTCAAGTAACTCTGAGATTTTAGATAAAAGATGAATTTACTTTCACATCTTTGAACGAAGCAAAACCGGAAAATCAGGTAAAAATTTTTAAATTCAATTTCGTTTAACCCTTTCTATGCATCCTCTAGAATTTACGTAAAATAAATTTCAAAAGTAGAGCTATAAATTGTAGAAGTTATCGCAATTGTAATTTAAGTTCAGTTGTCAGTATGAGTGCATTGTTAAATCAGTTGAACGGGTCAACTCAATGTAAAACAATTGAAAGTTGGACCGCAATAGGATTAACAATACCAGTAATGATGTTCATACAACTACTGATACAATTGCTAATAATAATTTATAAATGGTAAAGATTAAAGAATGATAATAAATGGTAACTCATTCACAAATCAAGATTTGGGCAATTCAGTTAATGTTGATTATGAGTTAAATCAGGCCAACCGTTTCAGTAATAATCATCAGTAATACCAGTAAATTTCGCTTCACAAGTTAGACCCAAGCCTGGTAAAATTTGTTATGTATTATTGTACGTTGTACTGGAAGCGATGATGAAGATAATAATAATAATGATGGTGATGAGGAGGACGTAAAGAAAGTGAGGTGAGGTTAGGTAGCAAAGAGGATGAGTTAATCTAAAAAATGATGAAGATGCAAAAGAGAGGGAGAGAAGTAGAGAATAAGAGAGGGAGAGGAAGATAGAGATAGAGAGAAGAGATGATTTAGTGAAAATCGGATTTGTACTTTTCGGGTTAGTTGTTAACTGTAATCAAGTGAAGTAATCTTCATCACCAACCACCAAAAAAAGGAAAGGCTTTTATCGTTCTTGTGTGCATCCATCATTACAACAGCTTTACTCTTCGGTTGCGAATCTTGAGACATCCAAATAAACAAACATCAACCATGTTACCAATTGTTGTGTTTACATTTATTTTGTTAATCGGTGAATCAGCATATGGTTATCCCTCCGGTGCACCAGAGGAAACTTGTAGTTCCCTTTCACCTGAACACGGCCATGGAGTTCCATCGCAACCAGTGGCTCAAGCTCCATTTTATGTTGTAGCTCATGGAAAGAAATTTTCACCCGGTGATAAGATTGGCGGTAAGATTTCATTACACTGATTATAATTGTTGGAAGGCATAATAATGTCAATGTTGTTTCTTCCTCCTCCTTCACCAATAGTTGAAATCTTTCAACGGGATAAAGTAGCAACTTTCAAAGGATTTTTAGTACAAGCTTTGGATGCCGTTTCACACCATCCAATTGGTTCTTTTATGTCCACAACGGGAATGCAACCAATTAATTCATGTTCAGCCATCACTCACACGGATCCCAGGCCAAAGAAGGGTGTTAATCTTGTTTGGGAAGCCACAGTTCCTCAGTCTGGTGAAGTAATCTTCAGGTAACATCACTAACTTTTTTTGCACCAATTTTGTTAGCTTGTTTAACGGTGTTTAGATGATTGTTGATAGGTTTCCACTTTTTATAATTTGAAAAAATAGAATGACAAAATCAGCAGATCAATTAATTTTTAATTTAGTTGATTAGGTTCTGCATTTCTAAAAAGAGTTAAACGGTGGATAAAAGCTAAAAACATATGATCTACAGCAAAGTGATCGTTGACTCATCAAACCCTCCAATTTGCTTTATTTAACACACCAATTACGAAATTTGTCCACCAATCAGGTTCAATCAATTTACCATTATTTTTTTGAACAATCCAATTGAATCAACCAACAATTAAACAGACGTGTTTGCAAATGATCAATCAACCAATTTTAAGTGCACAACAAAAAAAGACTAACTTAGTATTGTTGCAATATAATAAAGTATTGTCAACAATAATGGTCTATTTATAAATACTATTAGATGTTGTTATTAGTTGATCAATGGATAATCAAAATTTTTCAGGCCCATTTTTAATAGAACAGATAATCGATGGTCGAATTAAATTTAATTATTCTAGGTGAATGTTTGCTCAAATGTTGAATGAATGGGTTGAATAAAAATTAAGTTGAAGCAACAGTCCTACACTTTGATAATCGCTATTAAACCGAGATACAGTGTAGTTGTACTAAATTTATAATAAAATGTGTATGATTTTGAAGTTGCTTGATAAATTAAATCTAATTAGAAGTTAAATTTACATTAATTAGAGTAGCTGATTTGAATTTTAAAGGCTTTATTTTCGAATCTATTAATTGCTTCAATTAACGAGGAAGTTTAATGGATGAAATTAATGGTTATTGTTGTGGTTGTGTTTTAGATGATTTGAGAATGTAAAAATAACCGCAATGTTTAAATGTTTCCACTTTTTAACCTGATATTTTTGATATTAATTTGATTTCAAGGTTAATAACAGAAAACCTTTGGTTAGGATACTTCCTCATTGTCATAGTTGATTTAATTCATATTTGATTAACTGAACCGTAGTAGATGATGGATGAACACAGCAGCCAATTTTATATCATCTTGGTTGTCTTTTGATTCAGTTTGAGTTAACAGCCTAAATCACAATTTGATCGGAGAAAAGAAAAATCAGAATTAGAAATATTGACTAAAACAATACAAAATGTGTTGTAAAGTAAAAATGATTTAAATCTGAATAAAACATACAATCATGAGGCATCTAATTAAAATCAATTATAAAATCTCTAATTACCAAATAAATTGCAATTTAGCCAGTAGTTTACAGCAATCTTTTGGCGTATAATTAACATAATAGTTGCCGGCAAAAATGAATAAATTATTGTCGTTTCCGAGTGAGGCTGATTTTTAATGTTGTGATGATGAGGATGATGATCGCTGCCTCTAAATTTACTCTTCCTCCAGCAATTGTTGAATTAGTGTGCTAATGTTTCAAATCTGGAAACAACAAGCTTCAATTTCACTTTTTCATAAACACTTATATTTTTATAATACACAAAAGCTAATTTTATATAAATCAGCGAAAAAAACGGGTGAAATTCCAGTTGCTCTCCTTCATCGGCATCACCATCAGCATCTTAATCTTTCTCTTCTGGTTTATGCTTATCCAATTGTTGGTTAAATAATATTAAATAACGATTATAATTTAACCTCAAAAGCAGAGTGAATGGTAAACACACGCGTGTTTAACTCTTGAGGCTACAGCGGGTGGTCAAAATAAAACATCTTTTTGGATCCTTCCTTTCATTATCCATATAAATCTAAATCACAATCATCATCTGCCGTACATAAATTGGTATTTATATAGATGAGTTTTGTTGGCGTTTGTGTACATGTTTTCATTTGAATTTGTGTATTTTTAAAACAAAATTAACGTCCGAGGCAATTCAGTGAGCGAGTTTGGTAGCTTCAAATTTCGTAAATCAAATTTACACATTATTAGCTCCTATTACGTTTCGTGGCTTCCTATTTAACAAACACGTTAATTACACCATAAACAACCAATTGGCTTGACCGAATTATTTCCCTGATAACATCAAAATCATTATTAGTAACATTGAGAAAACTCTTTTTCTTCTTATAACAATTACTGAATGTAATTTTTACTTATTATTTGATACAATTAAGGATCTTTTTTTCTCTTCTATAAAAACGATAATGATAATAACAATATTAATGCTTTTTGTGGAGTTAGTGATGTATTTTAAAAGGCCAGATTGTTACCGCAGTATCACATTGTTTGATAGATTTCCGTCATCAATGATAGCCGTTAGATGAGAAAGATGAATGAAAAAATGATGCTTTGGACTAATATCCTGTGAAAATAATGAGTTGCGTTATCTTTTGGACATTTCCTCACATATTGGATACACTTCATTACATATCTTTTGAAATATGGTGATGATTGGAAGCTTTTTTGTAGAATTCAAATAAACAGGAAAAAAGAGTGAATTAGAAAGTTCAATTGAGGGCACCAAAGTGTTTAATTTCCTGACATACTGTTCTAGATGTTGATCCATTCTTCATTTCCAATATAAAATGATTCATTGATGTTCTTTGAAATTCACTTTTCGTTTGGCATCTGAAAGAAAAATAATAGAAAAGCAATTAATTTAATTGACTCATTTGAAGTGCGGATGGGATAAAAATGTCAAAAGATGAAAAGTTTTGGAAGATTAAGCTAATCAATGTTCATATAAAGAGTAATGATTGATTAAAGGGAAACTTTTCTTCGCCGTAACATCAACATTCACCCAAACATCAAAGTTAAACATTTCCTCTTTACAATTGATTCAAAATTCAACAATTGTTTACTAATTTTTTTCCTATTTCTCTTTATTTGCAGAGCAACAATTGTTCAAAACAAGAAACTCTACTACGCAAACATATTGGCCTATGAAGCTGAACAATTTTATTCAACATAATTAATTTGTAACCAACAACGCATAACGTATATTGTAAATGCACTTTCAATCGCTCTTCCTTCGGCCATCAAAAATCCTTTTATATATCTGAGCAATTAAGCATAAATTGTCATATCTCTCCTTGTCTATCCTCTCTTCACTCATCATCATACAACTCTTTACTTTTTTACAATAGTTTTGCTCTAATTCACCATTTTCATTAATGTATAACTACTTGTTCGGGTAAGTAGCCCAGTGACCATCCACAAAAACAAAGTAGAAGGAGGATAAAAGGAGAGTATAATGTTCCTCCCAGATATTCACTACCAAAAAGTATTTATCACGAGCTAAAATAAATAAAAAAAGAATGTTGACCGTTTTTTTGTTGATAAAAAGATTACTGTCACAATTCATGACGGCTAATATTTCCCCTTGATCTTGAAGATCAATTGACAAGCATGAAAAAATATACCAGGATTACAATCCATCAAGAATCTAACCAGCTCTGCATGAAATCTCGGCATAAATACTCTAGCTGTTAATCAATTAACCATCTAATGATGACCTCAATCGCTTCTTTTTTCTTGGCCCGTTCACTCAATTGAATTTCAATTCATCAAACTATCATAGTGACAGTCAATGTTTCAGAACAATGAACAATAGTGAACGGATTAAAATGAAAGAAGGTTCTAAAATTCCTATTTAGAACGCACAAATCCTTGTCTGCAAGCATCTTTATCTTTCAGTTTTTTTACAAATCTAAGACCCTGGTAACAAAAAAAACTGAGGCATACTTACTGACATGCAAGTTCACCTTCCTATCATTATCATTAACATCACCTCTATCTTTCTCCATCCCTTCGTTTCTTGGTTCTTTTATTGTTGATCCCCGGTTATTAAACCTTTGATGGCAGTTAGCAGCTCTCTTTTAACGCTATCTGGAACAATCCTATGAGCTTCCGGTGTAACATTTCTCAATATTTCATCAACGGTTAACGTTTCAATGTTTTTATCTTTCATGTAATTCTTACACAATTCGGCTACTTTTTCATCAAATTGATTTTCATTTAACCGGTTTCGAAGCATTCGTTTAAGCTCATCTTTCTTACCATTTTCTTCCAATTTTCGCATTGCTTGGTGTCTAACCTCGTCAATCATTGGGTCAATCTTGTCTTTTAAATCCATATCTGAATGGGAAAATGAGATCTGGTAAATCAAGAATAAAATATATTAACTGAGTTGGCAGATTGGTTTAACGAAAGAGTAAAAGCTAGGTAACAATTAATTTTCAATATCACTACAAGTTTTCAGGTGAATTCACTGCTAAATGCAAGAAAAAATGTGAACATTGTCAATAAATACTTCAGATGGCGCCGAATATGAATACCGGGAAATTTGAATTTGATTTTTTTTAAATAATTTACGATACGCCTTTTCTTGACCATTTTTTCTGTCCAAAAATGGTGCCAATCAAAGTTTCAGGCAAAAGATTATTTTTCAAGCGTAAGATTTAATTGATTACATTCATACAAAAAAAGAATATCAAAAGATTGTACAAGTTGATTTCATCTTTTAAAAACAATCGATGTTATCCAACTTTCATCTATTAATGGATCAGCTAAATAGATCAATATCATGAAGACAATTAAAGTTTTTTTGTGACCAAGCGGCCTCTAAAAATTTCAATCCGTACTTAAATCCATTTAAGCGTCCTATTGAACCGTCGTGATTGGTACAAATTAAAATTATTGGATTGTTGATAAACAGTCTTATTACAACCCAGTGAACCGTTTCCTTTTCCCTCGCTTCTTGAATTATTTATTTTGAAGCAAGTGATATTCAAACGTTTTTATGAATTTTGCCAACTGTGATTAAATGGTCTTTTTCAGCATTTTGGTTGTATTAACATAAACCATGGTGTATTATCAACCGGCGAAATATTGGAGAATGGAAGCACTTTTGTGTTATATTAGTACAAGTGAAGTAAATATAGTAAAGCTTGATGATTGTTTTGTTTATATTTTACAACTAATGTGTTGCACCGTGTTATGATCACTCCATTTATATTTCAATAGAAATTCAACTGTAACTGAATCACTTGTAGTACATTTATGTGATTTTTTGAACCGCTTGCATCGCTATGTGGTTTTTTGAGCCGTTTGCGTCTCTTTCTAATTTTTTGCCAAGACCATCAGTGATCTCTCTTATTAACAATGGATCCAGATTGTTTGCCAACATGTACATCAAAAACCAATCACCAATATTTCCTCTGGCACAAATTAGTCGAAGGCATTTTGTCTTTGATAGTCGACATCGAGATTTGAGAAAATATGGACGAAGAGAAAAACAGATGACAATGAAGAGTCGAAAGAGGATTAACAAAACAGTCAAGATTAATAGTATGGAGTACCAGAACCAAAGGAAAAGGTAAATCTTCTCGTTAACCACATTCAATGGCAACATACACAGAATATCATAAGTGGATATGTCCCCAGAATCACCATACTTTTGGAAGCGGCACTTGGTCATCCGGGGGAACATTCGAATCATTGGATTAACCAGGGAAGTCCGATTCTCTGAAAGTATATAAGACACAGTAAGTGGTCCATAGTCGATAAATTCACCGTCGAAAAACCAATCAGTGAAATACAACTGGCAGATGACATTGGCTAGGCACAAAGCTTCACAAAAGAAATATTTACATGCATACAGCCGGTGATGACCAAAATGTCGGTAAAAATAGTCTAAAATGATTTTCCGCTTGTGGCCCTTTTCTTCATCTGTGATTAATGCAATCTGCATACCAAGAGAGATGGTTTTAATTAACCCACCTTCCCACAATTTCCACAGGTAATATGGAAAGTAAAAGAGGAGACCTTGGAAGAAGAGTGTAAAAGTTACCCACTGGTAATAGGTTTGCCATTTTCGGTTACCAGTGTAACCCTGCGAATTTCGGATCCAGGGGTGAGCCGTTTCACCATAGCTTGCTCGCTGGTTTATAGATAAATAGGAAGTTGTTGGTGCCGAAGAAACTTGCTTTGCTGTCTGTTTTGGCTCAGGAATGATGAAAGTTGATTGGATCCAGCAATAGGTGTTTATCATTGTTTTGGGTAAATTATTGGTTTCCATACAATGGATTGGTTCACCAACATATTGACGACCAGATAAAAGGATGCTAAAAGCAATCAATATAACTGAAGTAAAAAGCCAGTGTAATCGAAAGATGGCATTATCAATGTGAACAGTTCGTCGTTTGGTTACCCTTTTCAAACCAATAAATAAGTCCAGCATAATTATGTGTTGCACCCTGAAACCAGACTGCTCTCATTATACTATAATTGGAAGATAAAACAAAATCGAGTCAGTTACAACATTTACATTTCTTCATTACATCATGGGACATTTCCAATCATCACAATTCAACTATTTTTGTTATTCAAGCGTCCAATATTTCAACAAAAATAACCTGTTCATGGTTTCCACCTTTTTCACTTCAACATACGCTGAACAAAGCATTTTCACCCACAGATACAGAATTCTTTCCATCTCTAACAACATCATTATCATCTGTAACCTTGGTCGACCCAATTACCTTAATTCATGTAACTTTTTTTCCTGGTTCATTTCCTTCCTTCTTTTGGCTGCACAACCATAAATAAGATTTACGTCTTATCACACCAGATATTCAAATTTTCTGTACTGATGAAACAATATGGATTGGAATATCCTCAATTTCATACAAGATTACTAACAACAACAACAACAAAATGATACGTTCAAAGTCAAGTTCACCCGATCAACTGATTATCTTTGATTTAAGAGAAACTCGTGATAAATGGTAAACACTTATTACGTGTCGCGATGAAAAGTACGCAAACATCGACGATTTACACTTCACACTCATACATTGATAGACAAATACAAGGTTAATTGGCAAAAATAGTAGTCGATTAATGATTTTGGTTTCAAATGTTCCAACCGTGTTCAACCTGATTGACAAATGAAAGCGCACTCAACTAACCATCAACAACCCTTACTGTAATCCCAACCATTACCAAAACAAGTTGTTAATTGAATCAATTCAACCATTCAGCTAATTAATTTTACCATAAATAGCATGTTTATATCAACTTTTAACCAAAAATCAACACAATATTACTCATCATAATTTGGAGAATAATTAAAAGGGTAAAGATTGGAAGCACCAAGGAAATTTAAAACTAATGAATTCTTAAATCGTGATGTTTACTCTCTCATGTAAATAGCTCATGATTATTTGGAAACACAAGATAATATCAGCTAAAGAAATGTTCGCATTTGTTTCATCTCATTTCCTTGTTAACAACAAAAACAATAACAACAGCAGCGAGAAAAATAAACGGGAAAAGAATAAGAATCCAAACAAATCATAGGAAGATGATGAAAAATATAATAAACTCGCAGCTTTTTTCCGCCATAAAGCAAAGGAAAAAAGTCTAATTTTAGTTCTGACTACCCAGCTTCGTAATAAACATTCATCGTCTTTATCTTCATGTCTTTTCGAGCATAAATATCTTCTCAGGAATATGGGACACAATGTGAGAGTGCAAAAACTTTCCTGAGAATCCATCAATCTTAAAAACTCAACTTTATCAAGAAAAATCATTTCCATGTCAAAAGGAAAAAGTAAAGACAAAAATTAAGTTACTAGTTGATGGTTGGAACTAAAATTACGGAAATATTTCCACTGAAATTGATTTTCTCAGTCATTTTAAATTTATTTCATTTTAAAACTTACGTATTAACCAACATAAGTCATTCATTTACAACTAAATTTGTAAGTCAGACTAATCAAACCGATTGTAACATATTGACTCTTTGTTACTACGCATTTGTCACCAAACATGAACTTCTCAATTAGCGACAGTTGTTAAGATTGCAATCTACTTATTCTGAAATCGGAGTCTCAACAGCTGGCTTAATCATTCCAAATCTATTTGCATATAAAATTTTTGCTGTTGGATGGATTGGCAACAAATTGCATGCTTCTTCATATTTAGTACAGTGATGAGCACTTATCAAGTGATGATTGGAGAAAAAGAATGAATTGATAATCCAATTGCTCATCTATATCTTTTGTTCTGGTCGATGATAGCTGATCAGACAAAAGGGTAATGTCAATATTTCAATGTTGATAATAGGAAAAAAGTCCAATAACCTTTAAAGATACTGTTAATTGTTGCTGACTTGGAAATTTTCTGCGGCTGTCATTGAAGTTAACATAATGGATGAAAGTTGATTGAGCTTTTCATTCAGTGCAACTTTAAAGTTGAATCAAAAATGAAAATGTGCTCAATTTAATCAGTATTAATCTGTTGGCGATCAGTAGACTTTTCAAGTTTTGCCAAACATCTGATCATTATACAGTTCTATGCGAATTGTAAAATATAAAAGTGAAATGCAAATCTAAGATGACTTTAAATCTATTTGCGTTTTTTATCAACAAACAAGTCTAACAATAATATAAAGGAGTTCAATTTTAAATGGCTTGAACAATCAAATATTGGACGATCGAATTTAATTTTGTCCATTTCTCTATTGTCTAGTTTCTCTGAAAACTAATTATTACCGAGATGGCGACACCTGAAAATTAACTTAAGTCTGGCCCTGTTTTGTTAACTTAACTCTAACCACTACTGTATTTGCGTTTTTTATCAACAAACAAGTCAAACAATATTATAAAAGAGTTCAATTTTAAATGGCTTGAATAATCAAATATTGGACGTGCTTTTAATTTGGATGATGCTTGGAAGTTCGATAAAGGATTCAAAATAATTTACTTACGGTTAGCTGATTGGTAAAGAGATTGGGCGATCATTTTGCAAAGAATTGAAAACAATGTTGACGCATTAAGAATCGTATTGAAAGCAAACAATCCAAGAAGATATATTAATAATTGTAAATGATTTGGTCAACTCAAGTGAATTAACCCATTGTGATGATGAGAAACGTTTCAAAAGCTGAAGTAAACGATGGCAACTGCAAGAAACCTCAAATTCAGGGAAAAGCAAGTGAACAAATTATAAAAGAAATGATTAAATGTAAAAGTTGCTAAAAAATAAGACAAAAAAGTTTTACTGGTTCCATGTGATTTTTTGGTGAATCACAATCATCTGAGATTCTGTACAGGCAAAAGAACGAAAATCTGAAAGAGAGGAGAAAGAAAGAAGAGAGGAGGATCTTCTCGTCTTTACTTTCCACCCTTAACATGATCATCATCATACTAGGAGTAAATGTCTGTAAATAAAAGGGCTCAGGGAACTGGAAATGAATATTATTTTATCTCACTTCACCAGAAGAAAGGCTAATGTTCGAGAAAGATGAAAATGAACGCAAGAAGTTGGAGAAAGAGCAATTTAAGCTGACGATAAAGGTATTGTATTATGGAGAAGCGAAAGATTATATCAATGAGTTAGACAAGCGAGGAAACAAGCGAGGAAAGACTTATTTGGTGTAACTGTGGCTAATCTCACGAAAAATTATCTTAAAATAGATTTTCATATTTTCCAAAAAATGTTTTCTCTAAAATTATGTTATTGTTTAATTTTAATTGTTATTTTGTTAACCGTGACCCTTTAAATTGACCATTTTTACAATATTGTGCTGTAAATATCTGTAACTGTTAATGTTCATCTAGTCTTGTTTGAATGTTCAATGATAAAATTTATAAATAATGTTTCTTATTTAGTCAGCTAAAGCTAAATAAAGATTCCATCATCTCATATATTTAACTGTTATGATTATGGTTATATTTAGATGATATAAATTGTTTGATTTTGTTAATAGCCTTATCTTTCAATCCGATTATTTGTCATCATAATCTAGAATTACATATTCAGTCCATGATTAGGGTAAAAATGATATCACTCCAACTGTTTGTGCAATTCGTTTGGCCATCATCTTCATTGGTCTGAATTGACAGAATCTGCAGCTAGCCGTTAATTTTTCGTTGCAAAGATATAAATTTGAAATCACAAACTCCTAAAAATAACTTTGATCATAAACTGACAAGGAATGCATGGTTGGTCCTACGACAATTTTGAATTTTGACACCCTGTAACTTTGAAACAAAGAATTTCCGAAACGAAAGACTTTACAAAGGGTCATATCTGATCCATTAGAATATTTTAAGCCCAAAAAAAATTCAAACTTGTCGTAGGACCAACCATGCATCCCTTGTGAGATTCACAGAGCACTGTGTCACAGAGGTAAGTTATCAACAGATATTAATAGAATCAGTAGATGAGACTTTAATTGTAAGTTATTGAATCGAAGATATTTATGGTTGAGGTCTGAAGAGAAGGCTAAATGTTTTTTAGAGTGAACTGAGTTAATATGAATCACTAGCGAATGACACTTTACAAATGAATAAGGAACTGAAAACATTACAACCGAAGTTTTGGTATAGAGGTTACTAGTAATATAAATGTATTTGCAAATGAAAACTATTTTATGGCAACAAACTGTGTTAATAAACCTAACTATTGGTTCAAGTCAAAGAATTTTGAAGAAAATAAATTGTCATTTCCAACTAATGTAAAAATTAACCAAATTGTGAGCCAATTAATTGACTGAAGATTCATTGATTCTTCAAATACAATCACCATTGACCATTGCTCTTAACTAAAGTTTGAAATAAACTACGATTTTCCACATTTGTACTTGCAGCAAAGTTGGAAACATATGGATAACAATGATTACCCGATTGTCTCAAATTGCCATCAGACAATAATTGAGTTTATAATTTAGTGTCAATGTTAAATCATTTTTGACATGTTTTTGATTGAGGATTAAAAATGATGAACTGATGTATTTGAGTTAGTTTGATGATCATTTAAATAGAGGAGAATCGTCCTAGAGGAAAATTTTACTATAAAATCGCCAGTTTTCATGAGTTTGCTTCCAGAAAAAAACGGTTATTCAAAATCAATTTAATACGCTTTTATTATTCAAGTATCTTTTTGGGAATAAAGTATACAACTTCCGATACTATGCTTAATTTTAAGTTGTTATTTGTAACAGTTTTACTAATCAGTTGCTTTGTTATCCAAGGATATGGTCAAGATGCATCAAGTGAAGTCAACAATCGAGACAATCCATCAAGTGTACTTCGCAGTCGACGGTCAGCGGCCAGTGAAGCACCACTTGGCGGTTTCCTAGAGCAACTATTAGAATTGCTTCAGTTAAAACAGGTGCTTCCAGAGTTACTAAAAACTTTAGGACTTCAAAGTTTGGTTGGTTCAGTTTTAGGAGGATGACCTAATGGGCTGCTTGTTCAAGGATAAATTGAAATCGATGTACCTTTACATGTCCAATGATAATCCTTTGAATGATATGAATGATTCGACTGAACCAATTGTGAAGAATATCATTGTTATGTCAATACGTGTATTTGTTTATTGAGTCAAATAAATTTCTCTCAAGTATCTCGAGGATCGATTTTAAATGTTGATTAAATAAAGCAATTACAGATTGATTACAACTAGCGAATGATTTAGTCATTGCAGGATGATGATCATGATGAACAGAATCCAAGTCTAGTTGTTAAAACCCAACGACTTGTTATAGTCAAACCATGTTTAGATCGAACTCGCTATTCAAAATCAAAATGAGGTGCCATTGAAACCATGAAAAGAACCATTTATTAATAATATTTTTAACTTCAATCACTTTTTGTACAGTTATGGAACCGATTTTTCACCAAATTTATCATGTAACTTTGGTGGGCAACCAAAATATTAAATTATTTAAAGAGACTAGATTTTCTGTTTTTGTACAACAATTAACTTCAATTTTCGGTCAAAGCTGTCGCTTTCAGCAATGGTATCATTTTAAATATCGATTGAACAAAGCAATTGCAGATCAATTTCAACAAATTATGATTTAGTCCTTGCATGATGAATGTCAAGTTGTGATTCGAGTTGAGCTCTAAACAATAAAAACAGCTTCGTCCTGATCAAATTCAGATAGCTTTAAATGGATAGATGATATCAAATTGTCCATTGAAATAAGACCATTGAGAATAAGAATCGTGCTTTCAGAAAGCATCTTTCAAATTGAGATTGAATAAAGGTATTAGGACATTAAATAGTAACCCAGATCATCTTCTCGTCACTCGTAAGTCACAATATGGTAGAAAAACGTCGCAAGTCTATAGTTTTCTACTTTTGGTGAGTTTGATGTTTTTAAATAAACAGCTCGTGTTAACATTCAAACCAATTGTCAATCATGCACTGAGCTGCCATTTCAATCAATCAACTAAGAATAGAGACATTTATTGTTTATTTGGAACTGATGGAACTGATTCTATGCTAATTTTTAGCATAATTTTCCTTCACATTTGTTTTTCTTGGCAACTGTTGAAATCATAGGCGATTTTTGATATAATTAAAAGAGATGGATAGCAATCAGTTTAATATTTCTGTATTATGAGAGTTCACTCTCCCACTTATTCAATCGCTATAACCGGTAAGACAGCAGTTAATGTTTTAAATGTAGATTTTAGATGAAATTGCGTAGATTTTGTGTTCGAAAATAATAAACTGATGTATTATTTGAGTTAATTTGCATTTGATGGCCACCTGAACAATCATTTGAACAGAAACGTAATCGTGGAAAACTGTAGCATAAAATCGGAAGTCTTCCAGAGTTTCCAAGTTTCTGCTTCAAGAAACAATTTTCATCTAAAGTCGTTTCATTTTGTGTTTCTTCACTCTAAGTATCATTTTGTGGAATAAAACAAATAGTTAATTGTTGCAATCATGTTTAATTTTAAAGTTACATTTTTAGTCTTTCCTTTAATCATCAGTTGTCTAGTTATCCAAGGGAACGGTCAAGTTGCTGACAGCGCAGCAAGTGCACAAAATGGCTCAGCAGCTGCAGCAGCATCGTCATCGTCATCATCAACATCATCAAAATCATCAAAATCATCATCAGAATCCGATGGTAAGGGTATTTCAAACCAAAATTCAAACGCTAATACTAATGCTGCTTCAAATGGTAATTCAAACTCCAATCAAAACGCTAACCAAAAGGCTAACTCGAACACTAACGCCGATTCAAATGGTGGCTCAAACTCAAACGAAAATTCAAGCAGTAACACTAACACAGTTACTAACACAAACACTAACGCTAACTCAAATGGTAATTCAAATATGAATTCAAATAATAATTCAAACACCAACGCAAATGCCAACGCAAACGCAAACGGCAACTCAAACTCAAATTCAAACGCAAATGCCAACGCAAACGCAAACGGCAACTCAAACTCAAATTCAAACGCAAATGCCAACGCAAACGCTAATTCAAACGGTTATTCGAGCGCTAATGCAACCTCTAATTCAAATGGTGGTCCAAAGAAGTATCCAGCTTGTCCTGCCAAGCCAAATGGATCGGATCGTTATGGCCCATCACGTATACTTCTCAGTCGATATGAAAATGGCTATGGTGGTTACACTGGAGATTTGAAGGACCAAGCCCCCAAAAAATCACCTTTAAGAGAGACTTTGAATCAAGGTGCTCGATTGCTCTGTCTTCTTGCCGAAATTGGTGCAAATTTAATTGCTGATTATGCTGATGCGGGCCTTTCTGACATGGATCTTTCAAAAATGGGTCTTCCTAATATGGACTTTCTCAGCATGGGATGAGCATTTCTCCGTAAAAAACAAACCAGAAAATTCAATTGATGTCCCCTTATCCCCAATCATAACCTTTTGGTAACTGGGCCAATTATGAAGAATAGAAAGCAATTTGTTGATGATACATGCATTCTCGAAAGAAGTTAATTCCTCTCTGTGTATTTTAAAGACTTATTAAAAACAATTAAAATTAATCCAAACTACTTTTAATTTAATTCAGTATAATGAATAATGGTACTTGTGCTTTGTACAATACATTACCAATGCATGTAGTGTAATAAATATTAATAACTACGTATGAATTTAGCTTTATGATTAGTTGTAGTAATAGTTATAAAAGTGTTATTAATTGTGTTTAAGTGCAAGATTGAAGTTATCAAAGTGGATTTAATAAGAAAAGTACATGTTAAATGTATGAATGCTTTATGCATGGTTGTTACTCATAAAAAGACACAATTGTCACATTTATAAACAAACCGACACAAATGGGTAAAAACGTGTAAGAATTGATTTCTTTCAAATTTAGTTTCATTTAAGATTGGTTGGTTTGTAGGTACATAAGAACTGAGTCTATTTTAGCAATTTGAAATATCTCTGATGTAAAGTTTTCGAGGAAATCGAGGTCAAAGTTGAGACTTCGATTACTTTTTGTGCAATAAAGGAAGCGAATTTTATCTTGAAACTTCATTTTACTGATGTGTATGTTGGTGATCAATCATAAAATTTACTTATTTCAAGAAATATAACTTTTCTTTTTCTGTAAAACAGATCACTTCGATTTACATTTAAAGCTGTCGCATTCGGTGATCGTAATAGCTAGAGACATGAAACTTATTATTTGTCTACAAATATTGTGGGTACACATCATGGATTAAATAAGTTTAACAACTTGACACCAGTTTTCTTGATTTTGGCCATTGTCCGTAAAACTTTCAGCCTCGATATTTCGAGAATGGCATCAGTTACAATGATCATTGTTGCACCAATTTGATTCTTAACTAATTAATAATTCAATCCAACTTAACAACTTTCCTTTAACACATTCGGGTTATGAATTTTAGGCTGTAAATGCACAGGCAAAAACTTATTTAACAAAAGAAACTCATCTTAACCCATTTCTTGGTAAATAAACCAATTTTCTGGTTAAACTTATAAATGAAATGCAAAAAGTACTGCAAAATGCTCGAAAATTTGAGTAAAGAGTTGAGACTTGCTGGATTTGTAGGGAACTAAGAACTAAGTCCATTGATGCTATTAAATAGTTCATACGATGGGCAGTTGCCACGAAAATCGAGGTCAAAGTTGAGACTTCGATCGACTTTTATTAAGCCATGGAAGCATATCTTTTTATAAAACTCATTCCGCTGATGTAAAATTTGATGATCAACAAGAAAATGTAATAATTTTGAGAGAAAAATCTTCTACTCTTTTGCAAAACAGATCACTTCGATTTACATTTAAAGCTGTCGCATTTGGTGATCGTAATAGTTAGAAACATGAAACTCATTATCTAACGATAAAATTTGACGGTACAAATCAACAACTAAACACTTTTTTCAACACATCGACAGTTCTCTTGTTTTTGGCCGTTAACCCAAAAACTTTGAGCCTGAATATTTCGAGAATGGCATCAGTTACAATCATCGTATTTTCACGAAACATTAGATTTCATTACTGTCTATCATATATTGAAACAATAAATTATTAAAGATCCTACAGAAAGAGTTATAGCAATGTCTTTCTTAGGTTTTGAGATTTGAGAATTGATTTATAAATGTAAATGGTTACTAAACACAAGTCTTTTGATGTAGCGGAATATCATTATCAGATGAGTTATCTTAGATTTTTTCCAGTATTTATCCACATTATGTTTTTTTCCTAACAAAATCTAACGAATGGTCAAAGAATAATGATTGTAGGTGCTATCATTCTCGAAATATTCAGACTCAAAGTTTTTGGGTTAGTGGCCAAAAACAAGAGAACTGTCGATGTGTTGAAAAAAGTGTTTAGTTGTTGATTTGTACCGTCAAGTTTTATCGTTAAATAACGAGTTTCATGTTTCTAACTATTACGATCACCAAATGCGACAGCTTTAAATGTAAATCGAAGTGATCTGTTTTACAAAAGAGTAGAAGATTTTTCTCTCGAAATTATTGCATTTTCTTGTTGATCATCAAATTTTACATCAGCGGAATGAGTTTTATGAAAAGATATGCTTCCATAGCGTAATAAAAGGCGGTCGAAGTCTCAACTTTGACCTCGATTTTCGTGGCAACTGCCCATCGTATGAACTATTTAATAGCATCAATGGACTTAGTTCTTAGTTCCCTACAAACCCAGCAAGTCTCAACTCTTTACTCAATTTTGCCAGCCTTGTGCAGTACTTTTTGCATTTCATTTATAAGTTTAACCAGAAAATTGGTTTATTTAACAAGAAATGGGTTTAGATGAGTTTCTTTTGTTAAATAAGTTTGTGCCTGTGCATTTACAGCCTAAAATTCATAACCCGAATGTGTTAAAGGAAAGTTGTTAAGTTGGATTGAATTATTAGTTAGTTAAGAATCAAATTGGTGCAACAATGATCATTGTAACTGATGCCATTCTCGAAATATCGAGGCTCAAAGTTTTAAGGCCAATGGCCAAAATCAAGAAAACTGGTGTCAAGTTGTTAAACTTATTTAATCCATGATGTGTACCCACAATATTTGTAGACAAATAATAAGTTTCATGTCTCTAGCTATTACGATCACCGAATGCGACAGCTTTAAATGTAAATCGAAGTGATCCATTTTACAGAAAAAGAAAAGTTATATTTCTTGAAATGAGTAAATTTTATGATTGATCACTAACATACACATCAGTTAAATAAAGTTTTAAGACAAAATTCGCTTCCTTTATTGCACAAAAAGTAATCGAAGTCTCAACTTTGACCTCGATTTTCTCGAAAAATTTTCATCAGAGGTATTTTTAAATCGCGAAAATAGACTCATTTCTTATGTCCCTACAAATCAACTAAATTTGAAAGAAATCAATTTTTTATCCGTTTTTATCCATGTGTGTCGATTTGTTTATAAATGAGACATTTTTGTCTTTTTATGGGTAACAATCTTTATGCATGCTTTTATATTACTTATTGCTAATAGAGTGATGTTTATTGTAACAAAAAGACGGGAATAAAGAATTGTAAAGTTACTTTTTAGTAAATCAACTAATCTTGATAGTTTGTTCAGCCCTTCATTTTGAATTGCAATGAAAAATAGGTTAGTCATAGAATTAAATTTATTTTAAATTTTGTATTGTTCACCTGTGCAATTGTGAAGAAAATAAAATAATCAATTACTGAAAAACAACTGTCTATCTTTATTTTATGGGATTTTTTCGATTTTTTAAATTTTATCAACTTAAAAAAGGGAAGCCACATTTATTTTCAAAACAAAGGAACATGTTGCATTAAATTTTATCATTAGATTACAATTTATTTTGTCTGTTTTAATTTGTATCATTCATTGATAGTCAAAAATAATATAACATTTATTATTTTCCAATGTTTAAATAAAATTGAAATTAGGCGCCCAAAAATCTCATTGGTTTTTGTTCACGTATGTTGCTGTTCAGTAGGTTTGATAAAATCAGTAAGGAAAACAATCCTATTCCTTGGAGTGACCTTAAACAAAACAAACAAAAATAAATTAAATAATAAAGTGGAAAAATTAATATTGTTTAATTATGTTACGTTCGGTAGTTAACCAATCCTTTTACCGTCGACTACTTGCTAGTTCTGTGAAAAATGAGTCTGGTTTTGTGCGATCATTTGCATCTAAAAGTGAAGAGAGGAAACAAGCTTCAACTGCTTCTCCAGCTACAAAAGAATCAAGTAAACCTCAGCCTGAAATGATTGAAATATTTATTGATGATAAACCCTATCAGGTTGAAAAAGGTATCACTATTTTGGAAGCTTGTACAGTGGCTGGTGTCGAGGTACCTCGCTTTTGTTATCATGAGAGACTCAGTATAGCCGGTAACTGTCGTATGTGTCTCGTTGAAGTTGAAAAGTCTATTAAGCCTGTTGCCAGCTGTGCTATGCCTGTGATGATGCCTGGTATGAGAGTTAAAACTAATTCACCAGCAGCTAAGAAAGCCCGTGAAGGTGTCATGGAATTTCTATTGTTAAATCATCCACTGGATTGTCCAATTTGTGATCAAGGAGGAGAATGTGATCTTCAAGATCAATCAATGGCTTATGGAACCGATAGATCTCGGTTATTGATTGCAGTTGGTTAGCATTTATTCCAAGTTATTTTTGCATTTACAATTTATTCTGGATATTAAGAAACTTCTTGGCAATTTTTCCAGCACGTGCTGAAATCAGAGTTTAAAAAAACAGGGACCAATCTGCGAAACTAAAAATGGAAACATTTTGATGTAGCTAAACTGAACCTCAAGTCAATAAGATTCTTTCACAATTTACATAGTTGCAATTTGAGTCAGAATCTACTTTCACTTTATTTTGAAACATTAACTTAATTAGCTCCTGGACTAATTTAGTATGATTTTGCAGAAATCTCCAAATCTAGATTTCGACTTAAGACCTGGGAAAATTTGTCGTCTTGAAATGACCCGTAATTCTTATGATCCAGTATTATTTGATGTTTCAAACATGCTTAATGCTTTTTTCTACTTTTTTAGATGAAAAGAGAGCTGTTGAAGACAAAGATATTGGTCCATTGGTCAAAACAATAATGAATCGATGTATTCACTGCACTCGATGTGTACGTTTCATGAACGAAATTGCTGGTGTCAGTGATTTAGGTACCACAGGAAGAGGAAGTGATATGCAGATTGGAACTTATCTTGAAAATAATGTTCTAGCAACTGAATTGAGTGGAAACATTGTTGATTTATGTCCTGTTGGAGCCCTTACCTCGAAGCCTTACACTTTCACAGCTCGACCATGGGAATTACGACGTTTTGATTCTATAGATGTAATGGATGCTGTTGGATCTAATATAAGTGTTTGCCAAAGAGGTGGAGATTTGTTGAGGGTTATACCGCGAGCTAATGACGATGTAAATGAAGAATGGTTAGGTGATAAATCTAGGCATGCACCAGTCGACGGTCTGAAGAATCAACGTCTAACTGTACCCTTAGTTCGTCCTTCTCGAGGTTCTCCTTTGCAACAATGTGACTGGGAAGATGCGCTTCTAACTGTTAGTCAAGTTTTCAATAAGATTCCCCCAGAACGTATAGAAATTATTGCTGGACCTATGATTGATGCAGAAACTTTGGTTGCTATCAAAGATCTTAGTTCAAGTATGACCTGCAATAACCATTACGTTCATGTAGATCGCAATGTAGAGCCAAGCTGCATACCATCAGCTGAAGATTGTAAATTCCGATCAAACTACCTTTTCAATACAACTATTGCCGGAA